TTCACTCATTGTAATTGATGGCCTTTGTTGGGTTTGTGATTTTAATATTACGTAAAGAAAACTCCTAGAAACACCCTCTACTCATTGCGTTCGAGACCAACCTTGTTTGTTTTTTTGGATAAACAATACGACATCGTATTGTCTTTGTCACCAACACTTAGCCTATTTCTTTGAAATTCTCTGAAGAAACAACTAAGTAATATTAATAAATCAGAGAAAATGACAAAAATACTTAACTCATGTTTGAATAAAACCTGTTTCGCTGACGTTTTTGTTTTAATTTTTAATTTGGTCATTGAGTGTCATTTTACTTTTTTTTTTGTTTTTTTAGTGCGTTAAGAAAATTTCCATTTATAAAAGAAATAAATTTATAATGAGAAGTAAAATTACACACGCCAAATGAAATGATGATTCCTATTTAATTTATTTTTTTCTCAATGTTGAGGGACCTTTTTGAAAGTAATCAAAAAGAAGATGACAAAAAGATTCATTAATGAAAAAGAGGAACAAAAGGTGAAATTATGAATAGTTTTTTCCCCACTTTTGTACAACTAAACACATGCATATTCACAAACATGCCAACATTAAATTTAATTTTGAGACCTCATCCAAACATAACAAGTGATATTATCACTATGGCAATTTATCATTGACATGAATAATTTTATTTCAAGTTATAATGTTTGGATAAGAAATTTTACATTTTAATGTAATTATTTTTCTTACAAACCACCGCATGATTTTTTTTTTGGCAATAACCACTGTATGATATTTGGTATTACTCATTATTTCCTACAAAATATTCTTCCGGTTCTAAATGTAAGACTCTTTTTATGGTTTAATTTATACTATAAAATGGGTCTTACTTTTAGAATTAGAGGAGCATAAAAAATTTTAGGGAGATTTATTAGTCCAATTAGGAGAAGCAATGAACTCATATCAATCTAATATATTCCTTGCTCTTAATGCGTAAAATTATATTTTAGTCTTTAAAAAGTCCTTATTTATGAAGAGCAAGAAGTTAGTGAATAGATAAAAATATACATGGGAAAGATAATTAATCTAGGGATATAACATGTAATTAATTACGATAAAAAACGGTTAAAATTTAAGTATTTTAAGTATATATTATAATAGAATAATATATATTTTTAAAAATCGGATCAGAGATTGATTACTCCCCACTCTTTTTAGATGCATTATCTTTCATTTTGACGCGGGTCAAATTAAAAAGCCCTGGATGCTTAGCGTTTTTTTTTAGTAGGAACAATATACATGTGAGTTGAGTCCTGAAAGCTTATCAGGATCAAGGCCTGCCTTCGAACTCAAAGAATGCTTATGAAAAACTTACAGATTGTCCACAATAAAATTCTCATATCAGTAATAAAATTTGAACTCCTAATCTTATGGTTGTAAATTGAGTTCTTATTATCTTAATAGGCAAAGATGTCTCCTAAATGTAACAGTAATTGTGGGCCCCGTAGAAAAAAGCCCTCCCAGCACAAACTTTTTTTTTTTTTAAACTCCGAAAGGTTGGAACTTGAGCACATTCAGCCATAATTGGTACTAAGTTTTTTTTTTTTGATGGAGTACTAAGGTTATTTTAATTGTAATTAGATAACTTTTTCTTTATATAGTCATGAAATTGAAGGTTATTAATTTGAAATTAGATCATCTAAGATTAAGATGTGAAATCTAATTTTCTTAAAATTCCTCTCACTTCTTACAAATCAAATAATATTATTGTGGTGTTAATTGGGTGAGTTTTATTATTATTATTATTATTATTAGGCGAGTAAGTTACGAGAAAAAGACACCAAGAAAGAAGGCGCTAGGGTATTTTCGTAAAAGAAACAAAATGATGATCCTAATTGAAAAAAGCGACTCGGGACAATGATGGCGTGCGTGCGTGGAATAATCAAGAATCAGCCGCTCCCCCCGAGATGTAATCTCCGCCGTCCATATCATTTTGTATCCCCTAATTCTCCTTCCATCTTTGCCCCTCCTTCAACCGTCCATTTCCCAAATACTCCCCATTCTCCTTATTTTTCCATTATAAATTTTTTTTGTTAGTATTTTTTTACTAGATAATTTTCTGTTAGTATTTAAACATAATTATTTTTTAGTTTTTATTCAAATGATTAATATATTTTATTTTAACACTTTCTACTTTAGTAAACTTTATGTATTAAGTAATCCTTCGAAATTTTAATTAAATTTATTTTTGGAGAAGGGGTTTATAATTAAGGTAACAAATTATTTTTCCATATATATGATGAAATAAATTACATTTAATTTTTTATTATTATTTCAACAGAATCATTTTTTTAATTTATATTTAAATAAAAAAAATATTATTTTAACACTTTCTGTTTTATTACATCTTATGTACTAAGTTATCCTTCAAAATTTTAATTAAAATTATTTTCGGAAAATTTTCAATTTTATTGTTCAAGGACACACTTTTTCAATGAATAAAAATAATCTTTTTTAGACTTTTTTTAAGAAAAATAACGTCCCAATTTAATATCTCAAATAGCCCTTTTGATAAAAAATTGTAGGATTTCAATATAGGCACTTGTATAAATTTATACTATCAATTAACATTCCATGAAAATTTTAAAATTATTTAACAAAAGTCATTTGACATTAAACATTTTAGGATTAAATGGAAAGGGAGTACACATTTCATTGAAGAATTTATAAGCATGTATATTGCGCAGATTGTAAAGAAATTTGCGGGAAGTATAAAAAATAATAATTGAAAAAAAAATATGTTTTTGCTTCTATTGTCCCTAGAGTTTAAAAAAAAAAAATCGCATTGGCTCTTGACGAGCTTAAGTCTAAAAATATTTTCTGAAATGAGCTTAACATGTTTTTACCTAAACATGGCAATAAAATTACTGCATAATCACACGTTAGCTTTTATAAATTTGAACAAAGTATAATTCATATTTTATTGTGTATAAAAAATGCTTCTGATTTCTTTATTAAAAATATAATATAATGGTATCATACTAAGCTTGTAGATTCTTTCATGTAACTTGACTTGGTGATGTTTGATTGAAAAAAAAAGCAGAAGAAAAGAAACAGGAATAATAATTTATGAAATAATAAAAAGACTGGACAAGAACTCTAGTTTTATTCATGGGCATGAATTTGAAAACTAATTAAAATCCTATCTTGTAGGTATCTTCCTTTAAAGATACTGCTGCTTTGAGTTGTGATCTAAAACAAGAACTACTTACACTTAGGTCTCTCTAGGTGGGTATCTATTCCGTTCCCAGCATGCCATTAACATCTTACTCATTATTATTATTATTATTATTATTATTATTATTATTATTATTATAAGACCTCCTATACTTTATGTCACATATAAATAACATTTCTAATCTTTGAAACTTTACAATGAAGTCTCTCAAATTTTTGAGTCTATATAGAGAGCTCCAACCTATCAATTTTATAGCCCTTCAATTTTATGCTTGTATTCATATAACCTTCTCAAATTTTGGATTTATGCAGAGAAATTCCTTAAATTTTGAATTATTTGTAAATAAATAATGAATAATCTAAGGGCATGAGAGTTATCTGTATCAATGTAAAAATTCAAGGTGATTTATTGTAAATTTTAAAGGTTCAGATGAGAGATTTTTTTTTTAATAATTTAGCCTAGTAATAATATACTCCCTCCGTTCCTTATTATAAGAGACATTTGATGCTTATGGCATGTTCCCATATATAAGAGACACTTAAAAGTTGTCTCTATTTTTTTGTATTGATTTCTTATTTTACCCCTATTTATTTTGTCTCCAACTCATACTCTCTCTCCCTCCCACTTCTCTTTCTTTTAATAATTTAATTGTTCTCTCTCATACTCTTTCTCCTTATTAATGGGGGCATTGTTGGAAAAAACATTATACTTTTTACATATTAATTGTCCTCAACTAATTTTAACTGTTTTTTTATCAACGTAATTTAGTTATTTGTCTCTTATAATAAGGAACGGAGGGAGTAATGAATAAACATAATGTGAAATATTTTAATATAAATTAAACATGAAAGTTGGAAATTTATTAAATATGTATAAGATGTTTCATTTAAATTGTCGCTAAGAAAATAGTTTCAATTAATTAAATTCATATATGTTTATTTTTAATGTATTTACTTTTTTTTTCCTCTTCATCAAAATTATAATGGAGTCCTCGGATTTACAGTTATTTGATATTGAAGTTTGATTATATATTGATATTTCTCTCCATATATCCCCTCCCTCTCTCTCTCTATTTATTACTATCTCAGATTATTAATATAAGAGTTAGTTTAATATTTATTTTAATCTTAAATATAAGACTCTAATCTATTTTATCTTTTATATTTATCTAATTTTTTTCTCAAAATAATCCTTATAATAATGGTAGTTTTAACTAATATATTACCTCTAGTTCTTAATATAAGAATTAGTTGGCTAATTTAAGTAGATTAAGAAAAATAGTTAAATTAATTATTTATAATGAATATATGTTGTTTTTTCTAAAATATCATTATTAATAAAGTATATTGGGTAGAACAATTATTATTATAAGGATTATCTTGGAGGAAAAATGAATAAATATGATAAATTAAATGAATTAAGATCTTATATTTAAAACCAAAATAAAAATCAAATAAACTCTTATATTAAGAACCGAAGGTAATACTTGATTAACAAAAATAATTCTAAAAAATTTATTTATTACAAATAACTAATTTAATTAAAATTTTTAATCTATTTAAACTAGTCAATTAAATTTTATATTAAGAATCGAAATTGTAATTTTTAAATTCTTTTTGGACAATAATATTAAGAGAGGGGGCAGTTTGGTAAAAGAGGGACAAGGTGGGCATGAAGGGGATAAAGTGGCGTACGGAGGAGGAGGAACAGCATAACTACATGCTATCATAATTTATGCGCATCTGCCTACGTGGCATAGTTAGATTGGGTAAGGAAGGTGTGAGACCCAGCGGGAGAGAGAGCGAGAGAGAGATGGAGCCGGGTTAGGGGCGCAGAGAGAGAGAGAGAGAGAGAGAGACTGGTTTTAGTTTTACACACAGCAGAATCGGGGTTTGGGCATGGAAGGGCTGGCCATGCTGAAGCAGTTCATCGGTCAGCTTCAGGAGTTCTTGGACCTCTACGACTCTCACCTTCCTCTTCTTCCTTCTTCTTCTTCTTCTTCCTCTTTCATCCTTCAACCTTCTCAGCAACTCTTTCTTTCACACCCTCTCTTCCTTCACCAACGCCGCAGGTTCGCTCTTCTTTTCCCTCTTCCTCTAGATCTATTTTTCTCTGCACTTTCTCCCCTCTTTGTGGTGATCAGTTGTTTGAAATGAACCTATCTTTTCAATTTTTTTCCGAGTGACAATGCTCTTCATTCTGCCCGCTTATTGTAATAGTTTCTCTGATTCAATGTTTCCGTTATTATTGACTAATATGATGTTTTCTTGGAAGATGTTAATTGGACTCTTCCTCTTCTGTGAAATATGTATGTGCTATAGGTTTTGAGGCTTGTTATCTTAATTTTTTTGTCTAAGCATCCAATGGCAATCATTGTTAAGTTTGTTCATGCTTTCTGGAACTAGGTTCTGAAATACGACTGGTTCGCAGATTATGTGAGATTTTCTTTCGATCGTCTGTCAATGTCTTTGATGAAATTTTTCCTCGAATGAGAACATAAATTTTGAAATCTTTGTTTGGTTTCCATGGGTGCTATGTGCTCCTCTGTTGCTCTTGGTTCAGATGCTCGCAATATCTGATTCCTCCGTGAGCCCTTTCTCTAATTGATTAGATTTTACTTTGTTGATCTTATTCAAAAGAAGGTAAACGAGGGTGATATACCATATTCTCTGCATTTTCTTGCGTTCTCTTGGTTGTAATTGAAAGTCTAATTGTTTGTTGACATATGGTGGATATATAGTGACAACTTACATAATCAGAAAGGTGGGGAAGGAATAAGCCAAAAATTAGAAACTATTACAGGATGACCTAGAAAGAAGTCGGGGACATGCAACAAAAATATGAAACCATCTGCTTGGCATTTGAGAGCGTGTTCTTTTCTTCTACAACAAAAACACGGGGGAGATCATTCATTCATTCCTTTAGAATTGTCATGTGACTTATGAGTCAACTGTTTTGGAAAAATATGTGGCCTGTTCTCTTTTTCTGATCCATGATATTTACATTAACATCAATTTGTAACTATTAAATACTAGTTTTGTAAAGGGCACCGGCAATCAAGTATTCACTTTCATCTACACTCGTAGAAGGCATAATTGCAATTGCACTAGAAGAACTAGGAACCATGACTTACCGTATCGCACTTCATACCTAGCTGTGAGCAGTCCTTGTGGGTTCGAGGTGTCCCTTTTTTTCCTGTCTACTCTGAATATCTATCCTATTTTTGCTCATTCTGATTAGTTATTTACATATGTTCATGGTTGCACATCTAGAATTCTGCTCATAGTATGTCTGTTCTTGCAGTCACTAGGGTAAGCAACCACTTATAATTGCAGGGTGTTTACTAGCAGTGATTTCGTTGAGTGAAATATACTTGATTCCTAAGTAAATTTTTAGGCTTGAGCCTCATGGATAGAAATGCTACCCTCATTTTAGGGCCTCATAATACTCAAAGTAGTTGGTAGTTCTAAATGCCAGAATGTTATGAAAAGAAGTGTTGTTTTTTTTTTTTTAATAAACAGAAGTTATTTTATGGTTGTTTTGCATCTCAGCTGCCTAGCTTACATGGTCTTGTTCATTTAATTGAATGAAAAATTCAATGAATTTATTCTCGCAAGTCCAATGTCTTTATTCTTCACTCGCCTCTGTATGGAAAATACTGAATTGTTCCCTGTAGATGATGTAGCAACATATTTGAAGCATTTCTAAACAACACCCCCCCCCCAAAAAAAAAAAAAAAAAAAACCTCACTAAAGTAGTCAGAACATGGCAACCAATGCATTTAGTCCATCAGAACAGAAATGCCATTAGCTAGCATATTCATGTAGCCACCAGGGGGAGAGTTAGCAGACTAGTATGGCCAAAAAAACAAAGGGCAGACTAGTACACATAACTTCATTAGTAGCATTATTAGCCAACCAATCTCGACCCCATTCTTCTTTTGTAGTATGTGCTGCAAAGGCATATTCCAATCCTTAATTAGAAGCATTCTTATGGCAGTGAGAATTTCCTCAGAAGGATTGTCCCTTCTGCACTCACAGTATGTCAATTCCATCGCTTCAATAGAGTCAGTCTGCACCTGCCAGTTCCTCACATTGCTATTCCAGCACATCTGTTGGCCCATTTTTATCGCCAAAATGGTTGTTGCTATCTGCTCCAATAACGAATCATTGGTTTAACTGAATAACTAAGTAAAATAGATAGACATTTCTTTCTCTTCATCTCAAATCAATGGATCTTCCCAATTGAAAAATCCCTTGTATTGATAATACACATTCCGGTTGACCGAGCCTAATTCTAATTGTTTTGTTCCAAAGCAAAGATTTTTATCGCCCATAGTTCTCCAGTAGCACACAGATAGAATCCCAGTCTGCAATTGAAGCCTTTAATCCAAACTCCTCTGTCATTTCAAAGAATCCCTCCACACGCTGTCTCACCATTGAGCTTAAAAGCACCACTGTCCTTGTCTGGGAGGTGTTAAGCTTGTCTGCTTATATTTGCTCATCAGCTCCAAGCTTCAGTCTTGCAGTGGTTGTCTTTGACGAATCTATGGATGCTCCTTCTGATGATATCCCTAGAGTTCATGTCTCTATCTTCAAATGCTTTTGAGCATCTATCGGTTGATATGATACAACAAACATATACAAACATGAATACTTCCTACTCTTATGGTTCTTGCTAGTTCATGAAAGTCTCATTAGAACTAATCCTTGTTTAAAGAAGATTTTCCATGGTAAGTTGATAGAATCTTCTTCCAACCCTCCTTTGCCCCTCTACAATCCCTTAACACATGAAGAGTGCATTTAAAGCATTTCTTGATTATGCTTCTTTTGGAAGACTGATAATTTCAAACTTGAGCTTCTCATGGGCATTTCATCCAGACTAGCATATTTACCTCCTCAAGTCATGAGAATGAGCACATGCTTCCTTGGCACCACATTCCATTCGCCTAGGAACACTGGAAATAAGATTGCATCAACTTTGCAAAGTTTGTTTAAAGATCTGGCTGCACTTCAAATCTTACCGGTGAAAATGTCTTATTTGGTCGTCTAGTTCAGCACTTAAGGAATCTTAGTATAGTCTTGTTAGAAGGGCAATGAAGATATTTAATGTGGGTACTGGGGTAGACCAATATGAGTCATCAACAGAAGTCATCAAGCCAATGAATGAATTATTCTACAATATAAATACAAATGAAGACACACACGCACACTGACTGCAGGGAAGTTATGTTTATGGGATCTTAATGTTTGTCATATTTCCTGTAGATCTTATATTTCTTGAAATATGAAGTTTGTCACTGCTTGCTATGATGTTGCTGCACCGTCAGGTTTAAATTTCTTATTTGTTATTATTGAACTGATAGGAAAAGAAGGATAAATGGAGTCAATAAAGAATTTTTTACATGAAATAAATTCTGAGTCAATTGAAGTTCTTTTAAAAAAAAAAAGAAAAAGAAACAGTGGAAATGATACGTATACCCCCCAAAATAAAGACATGATAAATGGAGTCTTCATTTGTGGCTGTTTAATATTCCATGTAGAATGTGAATTATTGTTTTCATTTTATGGTCTGCTATTTTCTGTCTGTATATATGCCTTTCAGTGTTGGGCCATGGCATGTTGGTCTTTTAAGCGTGTATTCTATTTTTACTTAATGGTTGGAACCAAATGAATGTATTTGCTCTATCTGTTTCACAGATGGTGCTTCCTTGATATTGATGATTACTCTGTAGATGATTGCCAAGGACTTGTAATGGCAGCCGGAAAGTCTGGAAGTTTCAACATGTTGGAGCCTTTAAAGCCTCCACCTGCCAAGAAATGTCGGAAAGAGAGAAGCAAGGGGAAATCATCTGGTTTGTCTTGTGCAACTGAAGTTATGGAACCTCAAATCTGGAAGGATTTTCCTGAAGATTTATTAGAGGCTGTCATTGCACGACTTCCCATTGCCACATTTTTCCGCTTCCGCTCCGTATGCAGGCAGTGGAATTCCTTGCTGACTTCTCAAAGCTTTTTTCAGCATTATTCTCAAGTTCCGCTAGCGAGCCCCTGGTTTTACACCATAACTCATGAAAATGTTAATTCAGGAGCCATTTATGATCCTGCTTTGAAAAAAATGGTACCATCCTGCAATGTCAATGCTACCTGCAAAGATGATTGTTCTGCCAGTGGCTTCTGCAGGGGGGCTTGTTTGCTTTCTTGACATTGGTCACCAAAACTTCTATGTCTGTAACCCTCTGACCCAATCTTTCAGGGAGTTGCCAGCTCGATCAGTTAAGGTCTGGTCTCGGGTGGCAGTAGGAATGACACTAAATGGGAATTCAACTAGCAATGGCTACAGGATCCTATGGGTCGGGTGTGATGGAGAGTATGAAATCTATGACTCAGTGAAAAATTCTTGGATTCGTCCAGGAAAAATGCCTGCCAACATCAAGATGCCATTATCTCTCAACTTTAGGTCACAGGCCATTTCAGTTGATAATATGCTATATTTCATGCGGACCAATCCAGAAGGGGTTGTCTCCTATGATATGGTCACTGGGGTTTGGAAACAGTACATAATTCCAGCCCCAGTGCATCTGACTGACCACACACTTGCCGAGTGTGATGGACGGATCATTCTCGTGGGGCTGCTGACAAAGAATGCGGCCACATGCGTATGCATATGGGAGCTGCAGAAAATGACGCTCTTGTGGAAGGAGGTTGACAGAATGCCAAACATCTGGTGCTTAGACTTTTATGGAAAGCGCGTTAGGATGACTTGCCTGGGAAACAAAGGCTTGCTCATGTTGTCCTTGAGATCAAGGCAGATGAATCGGTTGGTTACTTACAACATGGCGAGCAGAGAATGGCTCAAAGTTCCTGGGTGTATGGTGCCGCGAGGGAGAAAGCGGCAATGGATAGCATGTGGGACTGCGTTTCGCCCCAGCCTCACTGCAATGGCTTGATTTAGTTTGTATCTGCAACAGCAATGGCATTGATGCTTATGTATGTTGTTGTTTCGACTCTCATTGTGATTTTAACAAAGTAGAATAGGAAAAGGTGGTTTGGTTTCATGTTCCAAATGCCTAATCCTCAAACGTTTCTGTTTGCTCCTGTCTTCCTGGGTTCTACAATAAGCTTGTAGTTTAATTTGGAAATGGTTGGACAACCTATTTTTGTAGAATATGAGAAGGTGGTTTGTCAGTGTGAGATGAATACTTTGGTTGTGTTCTAAATGCGTAATCCTCGGACGTTTCTCTGAAATTTGATCTTGCTCCTGTTTAGTTTACTAAGCTAGTAGCCAGAATTGATAGTTGTTGGACGGCTTATCATCATTATTTTTATTATGTTATACTCAGAAGCCTGGGATTTTTTCTCTCCCAATTATCATCATAGTATAATCCTTCAAAAAGAATAGAAGAAGACCAAAAAAAAAAAAAGCCGTTGAAATGAAACTACCCTTTCAATCCTAAATATAAGACTCTTTTATAGTGGATACACTACAAAATGAGTTTTATATTTAGAACCGAAGGAGTATTAAATGTGATCATACGGTTTATAATTTATCTACAAATTTAGTTGTTGACAATATATAATAATGAATGATTCGTAATTAATACTACATTCGGTATTATTTATAAGATCTCGTTTGTAATCTATAAATAAGGTCTTATAAATGAGACCGAATTTTGTCTAATGAGATGTACTTGTTACATCTTCATGTTATAAGTCTTCCTTCCTCTGTACAGATTGTGTATTATAACGTAGCTATTATATTGAAAATGATGATTTCCATGTACTCATGCTTCCATTCACCAAAAGCAAGCGTTGTCATACCTGGCATTCAATTTCCTATTCTAATCAAGTTGCCAAAAAAGATTTAACAAAATAAACCATTTGGATTGTTTCAAGGGTTAAGGTGTAATTTTAACAATAAAATTTACTCTAAGAGGCACTGATCACCATAATATTTATTTGGGTGTAAAAATATACATAAAATTATCAAAAAGGAGTAGTTGACACCATACTGTTAACGTCCGTTAGTTTACCGTCAGATAGGCCCACAAAGTCAATTTTAAGGTGTATTTTTACCAACAAAGTCTATATCAAATGGCACTAGGCGTTATAAAATTTATTTAGGTGCAAAAATATACATAAACTTTCTAAAAGGAAAAAAAATAACAAAATTCTTCAACTCTCAAACATCTATTAATTTTATTTTTTTGGATCCCACCAAATGTTGTATTTTTCCTCCACCCATTTCTACTTCCAAGTCGATCCATCTTTCTTTCATTATAGTTAACACGCACACTCTCTCTGTGATGTCGTTTCATCAGCCTCCAAGCCTTTTATATGTATTTGCGCAAAACAACATCTTTTCCTTTTAGGATATGAGATTCATTGCTTGCACCCAAGTATTATCTCCAGTCCTTAATATAGGACACAATAGACTAATCTAGGGAGATTAAATAAATTACTTTAAGGCATTATATTGATCGTCTTCTCCAAATTAATTTGCTTGGCTTATAAACTACTACCTTCGGTTCTAATTATAAGAGCTAGTTGACTAATTTAAAGAGATTAAGAAAAGCATTTAAGTTAGTTATTTGTAATAAATATGTGTTGTTTTGTCTAAAATATCCTTGCTAATCAAGTGTATTGACTAGAACTACTATTGTTAGAAGGACTATTTTGAGAAAAAATGCATAAATCTGAGAGATAAAGTGGATTGGGATCTTATATTTAAAACTAAAATAAAAGTCAAATAAGGTTTTATATTAAGGACCAAAGCTAGTAATATATAATCAAATGATGCATATAAATATTTTAGAGAGATTATGTACTATATGCTATATTTAAGTAATTGTTTTACTTCTTTAATTTTTTTTTTTAAAATTTGTCCATTATACTAAGGATAAGAGGAAGTAGGAATGAGTAGAGGAAAAAAACGATATTTAGTGGGACCCAAAAAAATAAAATTGATGAACGTTTATGAGAGTTGGAGAATTTTGTTATTGTTTTTGCACCCAAGTAAGCTTCATGGTGCATAGTATCCCTTGATGTAAACTTTGTTGTTAAAAATACACCTTAAAACCAACTTCATGGGCCCTTCTGATGGTAAACTAACAGATGTTAATGGTATGGCACCGGATATCTCCTTTTAACAATTTCATATATATTTTTGCACCCAAATAAACTTTATGCTGTCCAGTACCCTTTAGGGTAAACTTTTTTGTTGAAATTGCACCTTAACCCTTATTTCAAACTGACAAATAGTGAACAACACAATAAAATAATGCATATGAAAAAGCATAAAAATGATGATAAAAAGACATTTGCAATATTGAAAAGCAAAGGCTGCCCTTCTAGCAGATAGAACTTGCACGGTCTATGCCCATTTCTAAAAGGAGGACAAAACCATACCATGGAACACTAATAAGTACATTTAATATTATACATTTCAAAAATAAGCTTTAGCTAAAAGGTTCATGTAATCCCTCTCAATTGCCTCTTTTTTCTAAATTTCAAGCACTAGATGGATCTCTATTACCTATGGGTACATGATGAAGCCCACCCGCAACTTGATTATAGGATAGAAATCCAAAAGAAATTGCTTGAGCTTATACAGATTGAGATTATAAGCAGATTCAAACACCACACATTGCCACTGCGAATCTAAAGCTATTTTGGGGTTGAAGCGATGTGGGTTTTGAGTAGAAGCAATTAAGTACAAAATCATAAGGGGAGGATTGTATGAAATTTGCTTCAGAAATGTATTAGAGGATCCTTCTAATAACTTACAAACACTTAACATCTTGAATGATAAAAAGGGCAGTTAAAATCTTTCATGAGATTAGTGAGTATTGGAAATGACTTTGTTTAGGATATTTCATATTTCACGTGAAGAGAATCACCGCTTTGGTGGTTGAATCACATAAAATTGTTTTAACAGAGTATTATGTAATTATAAATAATTAAAAGTCGGTTAATTAGTCAATACATTCATTATGAGTAGTCTTATAGCCGTTCGTTTCAGTGTGTTATAAATTGGAGTCCTATAGATGATTTGTATCAGACTTCTCCTCTGTTCTCTCTTCTCTATTTCTACATGCTCTCTGTCCTCTCCTCTAATTCCTCTCTCTCTCTCTCTCTCTCTTTGAATTTACCATAACGGTGGTAACAGAGCAGTCACTCCTCGACTCGTTCCTCATATGTGCTTCTAGTTAATGGTCTCTACAAGGTCCAAGAAAACAAAATTTATAGAAGATTTTTTGGCAACCACTAAAGAAAGGTTGGGCACTATTGACGAACTCCAAAATATAGGTCGTGACCTTCAGGCTATAGTGGTAGCAAATTATGAAAATCTAAGACATGATTAATAGGACGAAGGACGAAATGGCTACCAGAGACCAACTCAATTCACTAAGATGGAATTTCCCAAATACCAAGGGAAAGACATTCACACCTGGATTTTAAAAAGATGTCATAGAGAAGCTGATCAATGAACTACTTCAGACAGGAGCGATACAAGAAAGCTCATCTCCATTCTTTGTCCCTATTGTCCTAGTTAAGAAAAAAAAAATGGAACATGGCACATGTGTATTGACTATCGTGAGCTCAATAAGAAGACTACAAAGAACCAATACCCTATTCTATTAGTGGAGGATTTGCTAGATGAATTGAGTGAAGCTAAACTATTTACTAAGTTAGGCTTAATAGCAAGGTATCGTCAAATCTGTATGGTGCCTGATGACACTTACAAAACTGCCTTCAAAACCCACCCTAGTCACTTTAAGTGGTTGGTTATGCCCTTTGGGCTTACCAATGCCCCAGTCACATTTCACGGGGCCATGAATGATGTCATCCTGCCCTTTCTTCATAAGTTTGTATTAGTGTTTTTTTATGACATTCTGATCTATAGTTCCTCTCTTGCAGATCATGTCCATCATCTCAAACAACTGCTGCAAATCCTAAGGATAACCACTGTTATGTCAAGAGAGCAAAGTGCACATTTGTAACAACTAATGTGGAGTATTTGGGCCATATAATTTGTAATAGGAAGGTGTCTGCAGATCTAAAGTAGATCCACGCTAATGCTAATTAGCCAAGACCTAAGTCAGTGAAACATTTAAGGGCATTTCTTAGGCTAGCTAGTTATTGCAAACACTTCATCAAGGAGTATGGTATGTTGGCAAAGCCTTTTATAGCTCTATTGAAGAAGAATGCTCTTGGATGGTTAGAAAAAGCAAGTGTAGCATTTAAGAGCCTTAAGGAGGCTATAGTTTCAGCACCTGTTCTAGCATTACCAGATTTCTCATTGGTATTTGTTGTGGAGACTAATGCATGTGGAGTCAACTTGGGGGCTGTGGTGATGCAACAAGGTCAGCCCATTGCAGTTTTTAGAAAAGCACTAGGCTCTAGGCACTTAAATTTTTCGATATATGAAAAGGAGTTTATGGTGGTAGTGCAAGCGGATCAATATTTGGAAAGGAGTAAATTTATTATAAGTACTTATTAGCAAAGTCTTAAATATTTGCCTGGTCAAAAGCTTAAGACTCCCTTCCAAATGTATTGGATTGCTAAACTCCTAGGATATGATTATAAGATCCAATATTAAAAAAAAAAAAAAAAAAAAAAAGAAAAAGGAAATGATAACACTGTTGTAGATGCTTTGTCAAGGCTACATGGGCCTCAGCTTTTGCAAATGGCAGTACATACTACTTCTCTAGAGCTGTTGCATCAGATTAAACACAGCTAGAATGAGGATCAACATTTAGTAGATTTAATAATCCAGTTAGAAAGGAAAAATGGCCAACTAGGTGCTTATACTTGGGATGGCAACTAGCTGAGGAAGAAAAACAGGTTGGTGATAGGCAATATTCCTGCTTTGAGGCAGCAATTACTTGAGTAGTTACACTCAAGTCCTCAAGGTGGTCATTCTGGAATTCAAGGCACTTATCAGAGGGTAAAGAGGTTGTTTTGGTGAAAGAATCTGCACAAAGATGTTAAAGACTTTGTAAGTGGATGTGACACGTGTTAGATGTAAAAATGAAAAAATGGCTTCTCCTAAGTTGTTACATCCTCTTCCTATTCAAAGCAAAGTGTGGGAAAGTATATCTATAAACTTTATAGAGGGTCTTCCTAAATCCAGTGGAAAATAAGTCATCTAGGTTATAGTTGATAGAATGAGCAAGTATGCTCATTTTATTGCCCTCTCCTACCCCTTTTCAACTTCCACACTTGCCCTAATGTTTCTTGCATCAAGTGTATAAACATCATGGAGCACCA